CACTTCAACCCTCGGAGAATGTCATGGTTTGGCTAAGTCACACGGTATAACCGCCTCTTCACGACTGTGATGCAAAGCACTGTTGAGAGTAGACTCAAGCGAGGACAGTAACGCAAACGCTTGTCTGAAAACATCAATGAGACGACGGACATGACAATGCTGGAACTATGGAAAGCCACCGCCAACAGATCATCCTGGATCGGGATATCAACCATATAGTTATATAATGCCGAAATCTAAATATATTATACATAATTTTACACTTTCGGGGTAAAAATGTATTATAATAATGTATTTTTATATATTTTAATGCATTTTATTTATACATATATTTTATACAATTTTATTTTTATACATTTTATTGATTGTCATTTGCATATAAAATATAGTGTTGGTCATTTTACTATAAAGACGTAGTCTAACTTATCAGTTGCTGAATTCTTGAATGTGCGTGTGGTGTAATTCGTCCGAATTATTAATCGAAGAGCATTGTTTCAATTCTCGTTGGCATTGTTATGGTGATTTTCGCGCCGATACCCTTGTGAACGGTTTGAATCCAAGCCGGTTGTTAAGCCGTAAAAAACACATTAAACATCCTCGTTGAACCCATATTCAGTCTACTGTATTCTAAGCATTTGTCGGTAGAACCACATTTATCTAGCTTCAAGTCTCTTTCTTATTTGTAAGTAGATTGCCCAGCATTGACTACTATATAGGTGAGTAGTTATTGCATAGTAGTTTCCCATGTTTTTGTTAGGTCTAAGAACATTTTCTTATCTATTTACATCGTTAGAACTGTTGCCTTCATCTTTATTGCCATATTCGCGGCGTTTCAGCTGTTGTAAGCTCCGGCCTTCTTCAGGTGATATAGGTTGTAATTTCGAACCGAAACCTTTATTTAGTCCACGAGAGTAGATTTTTCTAATTCCACGTGCCATGCTTTTCTTGAATATCTCAGTTTCGGTTAATTGCCTTTAGTGACTCTACTCTCGAAGTTTTTCTTCCCTCTACTGTGGCCCAGTATTGAACTGACAAGCCTTTGGGCCAATTCACTTTTTGGATTATTTAACCAATACTTTTATTCACTGGGCCATTTCGTGAATATGGCAATAAGAATTAGCAGTCGAAACAATGTAACTAGTGTGACTATTTACAATAACGCATCTCAGAAATATAGATCGATTTTCTTATATTTTAATTCTTTATATAGACTCTCAAATCTTACTCTGTTGCGATGTACATCCGGATGTCACATTCCCCCCCTTGTTATTCTGCTCCACAAATAGTGAAAGTTATCTCCTTGAGCGATTTTGGCATATCCAATGTCATCTGATGGCGTAATGGATAGTGGCTCGCAATGAGAAACCAGGGTTCGAATTTTAGTCGAGTTCGTTTCATTGACTGACGCGCAAAATTCTCTTGGGAAATGGATGAATGCAAATTCATTTTACACGCACACACTCACGCACGCACACACACATATAAAGTGTGTCCATAAAGTTCGTGTGCACTTTAAAGTTATAATTTTTTTAAAGTGCACACGATCTTTATGGACACACTGTGTGTGGGTGTGTGAGTATATATATATATATACAATTATTTATTTAAAAATATGATTCCAACAAGCTACATAAGAGTTCTCATGTTTCAAAACAAGAGCCAACAAACTTCAATATAATTATTTGAATTAAAGTACTAAGCTCTGTTCCATCTTCAAGCGAAATTTAATTAATCGCAGTACCTTGTCTATTGTCTTTAATAAAACATGTATAACTGAAGATTTGCTGCCTAAATACACACACACTATATATATATATATATATATATATATATATATATATATATATATATATATATATATATATATATAGATAACTAGACTCGTTTTCGAAAACCCTCGAATTTTTGATTTGCTAATCAAATCAATCTCGAGGGAAAAAAAAGGTTTTAAAAAAGAAAGAGCTACAATCATGGACTTCTGCCGACAAAAAAATCGCACAGATGCAGGTCTGAAGCCCAAAGAAAAACCCGATACGAGTAACATCTAACTAACAAAGAGCTCAATAAACCGTAGAGCAGACCTAGATATACAAAGTGAGTTAGACAAACCTTTAGGTTTCACCTAAACGGATCGTCAGGGAAAGTTTGGCTGACGATACCGTTTAGGTGAAACCTAGGTAGGTTTGTCTGGCTCACTAGGTGTGTCTATATATATATATATATATATATATATATATATATATATATATATTCCAGGTAAATAGTACGAAAGGACTGGGATCTTGGTTGTCAACCCTTCTAGAATAAAGAAAACTTAATTCAAACCAGTGCCAAGTGTCTTAGGCACCGTCTGGGTATTTTGACCAAGACACACTGGTACTAAAACTACAGTACATATGGAGTACATGACTCATGATCGTGATCGAATACATAGCTTCTACTTTGGTCTGTCTCTTTTACTTAAAACCAGATATTCTCTTTTCTTACAGTTAATGGTAATTCTGTTCTTCTTAATTCCTTTTTGCAATGTTTGTATCTAATGGTTTTAAGATTATCTCCGCCATTAATTTTCTAATGTTTAATTACAAGTTAACTACAAGTTTGCTTAGAATTATCTCGCTGTACAGGTGAAATTAATCCGGTGAGAACTCATCAATCCGGTGAAAACTAATTAATCCGGCTAGAACTCGTTCTTCATCCGCACCCAAGAAGTTTGTATCCACTTGAGGTTAGGCATTTCTCTAATATATTATCTGCGTAAATAAAGCTTTTGTAGGATTTCTAGTATCATTTGTAAGAGAGAATGTATGGTTGTCAGCAACGTGAATAGCTCAAAGTACGTATTTGAAATTGGAGACAGCAAAATAAACAAAGTACAAAAATATATTTAGCTAGGGAGGGTTTTAAAAGAAGAAAAATGTCTTGAATGTACAGCCGAATGTACTAGCAGAATAAAACAAAAGACCTTATATAACTGGAAGTTCTTAAAAACAAGGATAATAACATTCATCGAGTGGTTCTTAGGTTAATGCAGCTTTAATAAGTTTGTTTGCGAAGATGTTTTTCGCCATTTGATATCATTAACTTTACTAATCTACTTTTTGTATGAATGATTCATGTAATATAAATTGAACTGCACTACATATTTGATATATATATATATATATATATATATATATATATATCATCATTATTATTATTCATCGTCCTCAACATCGCTGCTTCCATTTTTTATAGTAGTATTTTATATGATTTATTTATCTTAATTCATAGTCAACATCACCACGAAAAAATAAACCTAAATCCTTTAAAGAAGAACCAACTCAACTGTTTATTTCTTAATGGATTAACGTAAACATATCGATAATGGATTAGCGTAAAGATATTGAGCGCAGTCCTCACCCATTTAATCATTAAGAGGATAATGACATCACCAGAGCAAAGATCAATATGGGTGAAAATATTTGTTATCGGATATTCAGCTGAACGACTCTAATAGAGCAGTTCGATTTCATCATTTCCATTCATCGACATACTACTATGTATTAGCTGAAGGACCTTCCATCGATCGATTTTATTAAAAAATATATTCCATTTCTTCATCTAAACTAATATTCATATCAAACGCGAGCATGCTGTCAATAAGGGAAATGATAAAATGGCCTATGATATTAAAAAAAAAAAAAAAAAACTCGCTGTATACGAATTACCGGAAGTCGATTACGGATCGATGGTAAGTTGGTTACATGAATATGATAAATCCAACAAGAAGTTATTTTCGGCGACTATTTATATCATATTTCTTTTTAGTTTGAAAAAAAATGGTTATAGTATATAAAGAAAACGTGAGTTTCATAAACACAAACATTAAAATGCAATATACGATAATGCTTATTAAAAGAGTTTGAAGAATGACCTTTAATATGATATGACAGCTCAAACCGACATTCCTCTCTATATCTGATAATTTTCGACTAAAATATTCTTGTCTAAAACGAGTGTAGTCTGAGAGCAATGAATAATGAGTTTTCCTAACTGACAAGACAAAGGAATTCATATTCCATAAAAAAAGAAACGGTTTTACTTGATGGTCGATCCACTTCGGACAACGTTACAAGGATGAAATCTATATGACATTTTTCGCTTTCCCAGTTCCCAAATTGCAGTAGAAATTGTCCCGTTTTGCTGTTGAACGAAGTGCAAGAATAGACCAAAATTTGTCATTCATCTGATTCCCGTTGTCAGTTATATTTCCACCACGGTGTCACGTTTCGACCATGCCACTTTTTCTGCATCAACCCACATCGTTCTCCCAATAAGCCTAATCTAAAACCTTGGCGTACGCCCATATAACGTGGAAACACCGACTCCCGTACAATCACCGAAGTTAAGAAATGTCGAGCCTGGTCAGTACCATAGGCAGAAGGCAGATAGAGGAGAAATGAGCTGAAACATCGGTTAGATGATTCTCATTGGAACGCAATTGAGACATACGGAGGAATGTAGTCTAGGGATCAGGTGTGCAGCGAGCATATGACCACACCCAGATGTGGGAATAATGATGATGAGGATGATGATATCTATATTTAAAGAATAGTCAACTTCTGATCCTGTTGTGGTAAACCCTCCTACAGTAGAATGAACTCTTCCTCCTCTCATAAATACAAACTGCGAGAGTCGGATAGGTGAAGAGAAGTGGGGTAGTAGACGCAGTGCTAATCTACTTATTACTAACACTATTGTTTTGTATATATCTACAATATACTTTTTCAACCTACCTTCGTCTTCTGTATCTTTCTTTCTGGCCCCTAAAAAGGCCACAACAGATTCCAAACAGGAAAGTGAACGAACACATCGTCGATTGATTAATTGATATTTTACGGTTTATCAATCTTTTGCAGGCAATTTAATTCCAGAAAATATTTTTGTAATGTAAGAATATTTCTGAAGATAATAATGATTTACTAATTAACCCATAGATGGTGGAAAAACCTTGGCGTACGGCCATTTAACGTGGAAACACCGATTCCTGTACGATCACCGAAGTTAAGAAATGTCGAGCCTTGTCAGTACCTAAATGTGTAACCGCTTGGTAGTATCACGTGCTGTCTGCATGGATGTGCCGGTGGAATATATTGTTCATATTCCACGCGCCTTGACTTTTTTTGGGGGGGGGCGGATATCTCAGTTTCAGTTAATTCACTTTAGTAACTCATCTCGCCATTTTTTTGTTTCCTCTCCTACAGCCAGGTATTGAACTCACAACTGTTTGTCTGAAGTCACTTTTTGGATTACTCAGCCAACGCTTTTATCCAGCGGACCATGTACGCCCGTGGACGAAATAAACATTTCGGTTTGAAGTCCCAACGTATATCACCTGAAGAAGGTCGGAACGAACAATGACCAAATCGTCGTTAATATGGCATTAAAGATGACAACAGCCCGAACTGTGTTACTAGTGTAAATCTTTACAATGCCTCATCTCAGGAGTATAGACAGATAATTTTAACGGTGTTTATTCAATTCAAATTTATGCATTTTTTTAAAAAAGATTGTATAATTCTATACTTGTAATATCGAATGTTGATTTATTGCTAAAATTTAATATTGTTTTGTTTTTCTCATCTGGAAAGACAGTCTTCTAACTTAAATTTAATATCAGTCTCCAGTCTGTATTGTTCTTTGTACTCTTTCTCTACGATTATTAATCATGGTTACTAACAAAACTATTAGAAATTAGTTGCTATAGAACCATTACAGGCCTTTGATAGGTAGACAATATCACAAATGACAGCGTTAGAGAATGCTAAGCAAGAAACATGCCCATTACAAGTGTTCTTAACTACTGCCAAGATGAAATTCAGTTAATGTAACAATATCAGTCAGCTGAGGTTTTGTTAAATTGAAGATAGCTGGACTTCTCACAAAAGATGGGTTCGGAATATTTTATTTTCGAACTAAGGTTTTCCGTATCGTGAAATCGGCTTCAACGAGCGGACCAGACAAAGTGAAGTCGCTGAATGAAGATAAGTTCCTTTGTTAGACGAAAAGGACAAGAAAGATCCATGCTAGCTATAAAACTTACTAGCACCGCGAAAAACACAGAGACGAATGAGGCCTGGGAGAACGGACAAGGGAGACACCCGTTATACTGTTCAACCCCCACGCCTCGTGGAAATTTCGTTCGCTTATAGCATTAGGTTACAACCCAAGAATAAAATTTGATTTACTGCTAGGAATTGTTCTGTTTTTCAATCGTGGGTAATAATCTGTGTGGAGGGTAATTTTTAAGCCACAGGCGTTTGTCTGGAAGAAACTGCACCCTGTCAACCAACGTGCAATGCAATGCAAAATTAATTCTTAAGAGAATAATGGCATCATCACGGATCAAGAAAAGATCAATGTGAGTGAAAATATTTGTTATCGCCAATTTGAGCTGATTCAGCTGAAAATCGTTAAAATCTGAGCGATTCTAAAAGGATGGCTCAATTTCTTCACTTATATTCATCGATATATTAATTATTCGCTGAAGGACCTCCCAGCTGATGAACCAATAATTTACCACAAGGTAAAAACCATAGGTAAAAGAAGATGGCAGATAGAGGAGAAATTAGCTGAAACGTCAGTTAGAAGATGATTCTCATTTGAAGTGAAACCGAGACATACGGAGGGATGTAGACTAGGGCTCAGCTGCGCAGAGAGTCTATGACCACACCCAGATATGGGATAAATGATGATGATGAAGATGATATCCATATTAAAAGAATAGTCAACTTCTTATTCCTAACAGGAGTGTGAACGAACACATCGTCGATTGATTGATGATTTTTTACGGTTTATCAATCTTTTGCAGGCAATTTAATTCCAGAAAATATTTTTGGATTGTAAGAATATTTCTAAAGATAATGATTTACTAATTAAGCCATAGCTGGTGGAAAAACAGGTCGATTCATAGCTTTACCAATGGTATTTGCGCGCAAGTGAATATAACGAACCCAGGTGGAATTGGGACTCTGCTTCTGATTAATAATTCCGAACCATTATTCATTACACCACCCGCACATCCAAGCTTACAGCACCTGGTATTCCAAACCGGTCACCTATCTAGATAGTGACCAGGCTCGACGTTGCTTAACTTCAGTGATCGTATGGGAACTCGACTCTCCGTTTACCAATTCCGAACCATTATTCATTACACCACCCGCACATCCAAGCTTACAGCACCTGTTATTCTTAAGCAGTCATCCAGCTAGGTACTGACCAGGCTCGACGTTGCTTAACTTCAGTGATCGTATGGGAACTTGACTCTATGATTAACAATTCCGAACCATTATTCATTACACCACGCGCACATCCAAGCTTACACCACCTGGTATTCCAAAGCGGTCACCCATCTAGATAGTGACCAGTCTCGACGTTGCTTAACTTCAGTGATCGTATGGGAACTCGACTCTCCGATTAACAATTCCGAACCATTATTCATTACACTACTCGCACATCCAAGATTACAGCACCGGTCACCCATCTAGATACTGATTCGACGTTGGTTAATTTCGCTAATCGAACGAAAACCAGTGTTTCAACATGACATGGTCGCAGGCTCACACATCTTCGAGATAAGTGATTGATTTTCTTTCTTTATCGTCAATATTGTCCGTATTTCTATTACGAATATGTCGTGTAAAATTCTTAGTTCAACAAAGATGTCTTTCCCCACCTCAAAAGAAATATGATAGCTCGCCATCTGATTAGATTTTGGGTAGTGGGCAAACAAAGAACATGTCACCGTTCCCTCTCGAAGATTGGAGACTGTAATTTGAATAGAGACACATCACATGATTTGCGTTACTATTTCTCATATGAAAAATGATATCGTATAATAAAAACTGTCACGAAGACAGTGAGAAACAAACATTCGATTTATTCGTAGAAAAATCAGCACGTCTGCTGGACATGTCAAAACGGCCTAGCTGAACTTCGTATTCAATAAATTTGTCTGCTTATCTCCCTTGCCTATTGTTTGCCACTGGAGAAAGTTTTTGGAATTCAAGAATAATTCTTTGCTTAAAAGATAGTGTAACGTTCGGGAAAAGAATTCGGATCCGAAAATGGCAGGAAGGCATTTTATGCAACTTTCATTTTACTTAAGATCGAAAAGATTTTCCAAGTATTTACAAATGTCCAGTGTCCAGGAAACAATCAAGTGGGAGTAAGTAGACAAATACAGTTATAAAACAGAGCTATAAGTATATATTAGTGAATATATAATACATAATATCTAACGACCATACCACGACTCGGAGATTCATACAGTGTTTTTTTTTTCAATCTTAAGGGGATGAGAGAAATGTCCACCTCAAAAAATGCTTGATTTTTTTAAAGAAAGCGCTAAAATAACAGAGTTTTTTTCCAGGTTTTCAGATAAGTCGTTTAGCCATCATTACACAATTTGTCATAACAATCACTGAAAAAAAAATCCTTTGAGTTATTCTGCTATAAAGAAAACAGGCTAAGATCATTTTGTGTCAGCGTCACTGTAACTTCCCAACTGAGCAATGTCGAGCGGAACATGATCATTCAGGTCTTAAAATAATGGTACGAACATTTGTACTCTTGCTTCCATCTTCAATGTCCATTCAAGAATCATCAAGAGAACGGTAAATAAGTTAAAAAAAAGAGTAAACAGTAGAAAGAAAAACGGTATCAGGTGGTCACAACAGGAAGAGGGATCATCTTTTCAACTTAGAGCTAAATGATCCTTATTGTTCAAAATAGAGTCCAATTCAGTAATATATCTTTAATCATTTCTAACCCGATATATATATATATATATATATATATATATATATATATATATATATATATATATATATATGTGTGTGTGTGTGTGTGTGTGTGTGTGTGTGTGTGTGTGTGTGTGTGTGTAGGGTAATACTATCCGAAACAAAAGTGGAGATAATAGATAGTGGAAAAATTTATAAACGTCGCATTTCAGGCCAGAATTAAAGACAAATTTGTTTAAGGAAGATATTTAGAATAAGAGGGACAGTAAATTGAATTACCTTATCATATACAACAACCAGGAAGGGATTGTTCGTTTGTTTATATATTATATATTCAGTAGAAGTCTTCATATCCGAATTTCAGAGTTCATCGAATATCAGGAAGGCTTTGGATATAAATATATCATATGTAATATAACTTAACGAAACAGAAGAACGTATCACAATATATGAAAATTTAAGTGTCTCAAGAAAATGAATATTAATTTACAATGTTTAATGCTCCATAAATTTTATTTTCAATTGTTTTATTTCTTTTCTCATTTCGCTTACTTTTCTTTGTTCTTTTTTCTTTCTTTTTTTTTTACGCATTTCTGCAAATTACGTGCACTTCTATATTCTGTATTACTGAACAGAAATTTTTTCTCCATGAATTTGATGACCTCATCCATAGCTTTCCCTACTGAGTTCCAATCTTTTTCATCAGCATTCATATTTTCAGCATTATTGGAAAAAAATGATTCTTCCTCTATTTCTTAACGCAAACCATTTTGAGGTAATTCTACCGTTGAATTATTTTGTAATTTATTAGCGTCTTCATTGATCCAATCTTTTACGTCATCTGAAGTCAGAGAATTCACTGAATCATCTTCAAGTGTAAGTTTTAGTATTTCGTTCAGATTCTGCAATCCTTGTTACTTAATTTGTAAATTCGGTGAATTAGGAACTTCATCCCGTTTTTCACTAAACTCTTATTTCTCACGTAATGTGAAATATTTCCTTTTGCTTTTTCTTCCAGTGGAAGGTTATTCTGTGCGAGACATTATGCGTTGAGAAATGTCAAGTTAATAACAATTATCTGCATAGAAAAGAAAAATAGTAGAATGCAACCTATTTCTGCAATATTTAAATTGCAACACCGAGAACGTTCGGATATGTGAACTTCAACTGAGTATATATATATATATATATATATATATATATATATATATATATATATATATATATATATATATTGTATGTATTTAGGCAGAATTTATGTTTCATTAAATAATATAGACAAGTGTTGTCTATTTATTTTATGTAAATTCTTTTCATAACGTCTGATAAACTTAATAACATTATCATTAAACGAAGAAAGAAAATCACAATATTGATACATATTTTTTTAATCCAATCAAAGCTTTCGGCTTACATTTCGATACGCATCGAGCAGATATGAATGTCCGAGAAGAACTCATAGACGACTGGAGTTTAAAAACAGTAAAATCGACTTACTAAGCGAAACGCTTCTCTGTGGCTAAATCGGTAAATCACGTCAAGCTATATGACGGTTCCGTGTAGGATACAGGTTCGATTCCTGTCGGAGGACGCATATTTTCTATGAAAATTTCTCGGACATTCAGGCCGGTAAACGTCGTTATTACTGTCTATTATGAACAGAGCGTTTACTTAAATATTTGTATCTATAAATAGAACGTATAAACATAAAAATGTCGTTATATATATATTAAATAAATAAAAATGTCGTTATATATATATATATTAAATAAATAAAAATGTCGTTATATATATATATATATATTAAATACTAATAGTTAACAAAAGGGCAGAAATGAAGCAGGGAAATTAAGCTTTTATGTCTGGAATATTTGGACACGCCTGTTCACCGGTGCGAGAAAAAATAGAGAAATCGCGAAGACTGACCAACGGCTGTCCTTGTGGCTGGTGTGAATCCTGTTGTAGATGGTATTATTAGTAAAAATCTGACCTCTGCCTCATTCCTCGAGTGCAAATATTTTTTTAAAATAAGCGTAGATTCTAGAACGTGTTAGACTGTTCTGTCTTTATCGGTGTGGCTAGTATGGGAGTGAGATTTTGAGCATAGACGAAGAGGGCCATAAGATTTGGGGTGGCGAAGACGTCCCGTGTGTGGTCAGTTCTGCGAGATTTGGCCTGATAGGAAATGTGTGTGGGAACGAAGGGGAAAAGGTACTAAAAATAACATGAAAGAGAAAAAATAGGAAAGTAACAGCTAACAGAAATGATAAAACATTTTGATAAAAAATTTCTTTTGGTCAAACCATTGTCAGAAAATTGGAGGTGCGGAAAAATTACCATCAAAACAGCCACGAACCTTCCACCACACAAGACAAGATATACACCAAACCATGACCGTCTAGACATTATAGTCCACCCAACGGATTCAACTGCTACATTAATTTGTACACAAAATGGGTCAGGAATCACATAGACAAATTTATACAAAACAACCTCCATCTGAACCACAGTACCAACTTCACCAGACATGAACAGTCGGCCATAAAATCACTTCAAGCTAACTGATGTAAGGAATATGCATACATCTGGTTCATCCTTACAGCAATATGATTGGCTGGTGTCAGACATAAATACAGACTGATGTGGAGGTACATTGTCTACGCCTATTGCCTATGCCCATAGCCTACGCCTATTGCCTACCACTACGACGAGGACCAGTCCATTACGGTTACCTGCTAGATTGTCCTCCCCGGTTGCAGTAGTCAACAACCACTTTGCTACTTCGAACAAACATATCCCTTTCCGGTACATATCACTAACAAAGACTTAATTATAAAACAAGCCGACAAGGGGGTCTCAATCACTATCATGGACAGGGGTAATTATATCGCTGAAACGGAATCCCAGCTGAAGGATCCAAGGTTTTATAAAAATAAATCCTCCCCCTCGATCACACCCATGATTCCATGCCTGAACTCCTCTCTTTTATCAGCCATCTAGACCACAACACCCAGGCACCAATCAAGGCCTTGATCCCGAAAAATCCCAAACCCGGCGCATTCTACACCCTCCCCAAAGTACATAACCACCAACATCTCTATAAAGGACATCAACAACAACACACATAAGCTGATGGAATCCCTTAAGATCCATCCACCCGACAGAGCTATAGTTTCTATTATCGGAATCTTGACACAACACACCCCTGGTGGCTACATTGACATGATACTGAAATCTCTATTACCCTTCATCCCTAGCTATGTTAAAGACACTTCCCATTTCCTAAGAATCCTGAGTAACATAAAATGCATTCCTTGTGTCCTTAGATGTTTCATCCTTATATTCTAACATCCCATATGAGGAAGGGGCGTATTGATCTGCAAGAATTTTTTGAGAACCAGAGACGTCCCCGAGCACTGGAGATATTTTGAACCTTATATATTTTGTACTCACACATAAAACTTCCAGGTCAACGGGCACCATTTTCTTCAAGTTAGAGGCACAGCAATGGGAAAGAAAATCACCCTCAGCTATGCTAACATCTTCATGGATGCCCTTGAACAAGATATGTTTAGTAGATACCACATGGCACCCCTATAATGCCACAGGTACATAAACGACATTTTCTTCATATAGACACACGGAGAGAACAATTTCCACTACACT